GGCCTCAAGTCCTACTTAACTCCATCAAGCCTTCCTCAAACAACAAAACGCACTGTATCCACTACTCACCCTGGTATGCTACAAAGTCTACCCTAAGATGACAGTGACAAGTGTCCCTATAAACCAGGAACTGTGCTTGGCATATGCCATTTCATTTGAATGTTACATGAACACCAGGAGGCCAGAGTTATAATGGCATGTAGGTAAAGAAACTGAGATGCAGTAACAGCTAAAGTGATACAGCTGGTAAGGTGGAGAACTGGGATGCAAAACTGTCCACCCCCAAAGTTGGCTCTCAACCATCATGCCGTGCTGCCTCTGTGTTGGGAGGGACACTGTAGTCACCTTGTCATGTGGATTGTTGTTTAATGAATAGGTCTTGCCTAACCAACCCACTTGAACACTGTATGGTGTTCTACACACAGTGACATAATAGACATTGAAGAAATATTTTACTGATTATTTTGACAGCCTTTTGTGTTCCTAGATCATATATTTCCACTGGAAACCCTGAAAGCATTCTTAGCCTATATTGTGTTTAGGCTATTTGTTGCCTAACTCTTCTAAGAAAACAACAGAGAAAGCAGCAGTCTTCCTACTGCACACCAAGGAGAATAAGAAAGCCTAGGAAAACCAATTTTGCATGTTAAGAGGCTGAAATAAGAAGCTACACAAAGAATGTAGACAGCAGATTATTGAAATGGGGAAGGAGCGGGCAACAGAGCTCCTTTAGAAAAGAAGCTGCAGTGGTTCACCTCAGATACAGTTCTGCTTAACAACTACTCCCGACAGGTAATTCCATCATACGCTGCATATATTTAAATAGGAACAGAAGTCTGCATTTGAAATTGTAACTCATATGAGAGAAAAGCAATCAAGAACTTTTGTCTTTCACAGAATAACCAGAGATTCTTTCTCAAATCCCACTCATTTCAAATATGAACTGGGCATCAGCAGATGACTTTCATTTAGTACAATAAGCTGCTCCCATTTCAGCGCCAGTATAAAGACTAGAGGATGAAAGAACACACTCCGAGAAACAAAAGTACAGTGTGAGGGAAAAGGAAAATAAAAGTATGTTTTTGGTACCAATGACTTCTTATGGTCTTCTACAAAAGAACCATGTCTTTAAAACATCAGTAAAAATTAATACATGCTGAGACCTATACTGTCCAATAAGGTAGCCACAAGCCTGGCCACTGAGCACCTAAAATGTGACTACTCCAAATTGAGATGTGCTGTAAGTATAAAATACACACCAGATTTTAAAGACTCAGTACAAAAAGAGAACGCAAAATATCTCAATAATTTTGTATACTGATTGCATGCTGAAATATTATTTGAGATATACTAGGTTAAATATGTTATTATTAAACATTAAAATTAATTTTGCCTGTTTCTTTTAAAGGATACTGGAAAAATTTAAATTATGTATGTGACTTGTATTATATTTCTGTTGGATGGTACTGGTATAGATGATGTTGCAGAAAAAGCAGGGAAAGAAATTCTCAATTGTGACTCAATAGACTTAAGATTTGTCAGCCCTTCCTAACAGCCTGCTATAGAGAATTCCTTTTTCCAGAAGATGGGCGTGTTTGGTGTAACATAAGCATGGGACTGAAAATTACAGCACCCTGGGTTTACATTTGATCTGTGCCACTGACCAGCTCTGAAGTCAATGACATAATCTCAGGTAGGTGACTTAGCTCAGAGCAAACGTATCTCCTAATCCTATTATGAGGGTTAAATGCAATAATACAAAAAGCCCAGCATTTTAAACGGAAAACATGATCTTCCCAAGAAAATTTCTGTGACATGCTTTCAACATATTTTGGTGGCACTTCATTAAAAAAAAAAAACAAAAAGACTAATAGGCCAGGCACGGTGGCTCACACCTGTAATCCCAGCACTTTGGAGGCTGAGGCGGGTGGATCATGAGGTCAGAAGATCAAGACCATCCTGGCCAACATGGTGAAACCCTATCTCTATTAAAAATACAAAAATTAGCTGGGCGTGGTGGCGGGTGCCTGTAGTCCCAGCTGCTGGGAAGGCTGAGGCAGGAGAATCGCTTAAAGACAGGAGGGGGAGCTTGTAGTGAGCCAAGATCACTGCACTCCAGCCTGGGCAACAGTGCGAGGCACCCTCTCAAAGAAACAAAACAAAACAAAAGACTAATAACATTAGTGGTCTCATGGTTACTGTTTGTAAAGACTTTAACTTCTGAATTTTAATAAAAAGAACTGTACTGTTAGGGAAGATTATAAAATGTTCATATTTGGAGATCTTTTTTTTTTTGTTGAGATGGAGTCTCGCTCTGTTGCCCAGGCTGGAGTGCAGTGGCCGGATCTCAGCTCACTGCAAGCTCCGCCTCCTGGGTTTAGGCCATTCTCCTGCCTCAGCCTCCTGAGTAGCTGGGACTACAGGCGCCCGCCACCTCGCCTGGCTAGTTTATTTTTTTTGTATTTTTTAGTAGAGGCAGGGTTTCACCGTGTTAGCCAGGATGGTCTGGATCTCCTGACCTCGTGATCCGCCCGTCTCGGCCTCCCAAAGTGCTGGGATTATAGGCTTGAGCCACCGCGCCCGGCTGGAGATCTTTAGGAAGAAAAGAATCATATTATTTCTCTTGGAAAGTATAAATCAGGAAGCTCAGCAGGATGATAGATAGGTTAGTTTATACTACTTGTAAAAAAGAGGCAAATCTAGTTCTAAAACTCAACTGGATGATGTTGGGGAATTCATGTAACATTTCTGGAATACTGATTTCCTCATGTATCAAATGCTGGTGGCTGACTAAATGATCTCTGAAATCCCCTTCAGCCCTAAGGCTCTTGTCGGCAACGAACCTAGAGGTCAAACATACATTTCTTTCTTTCTTTATTATTATTTATGTATTTATTTATTTAGAGACAGGGCTTTGCTCTGTCGCCCAGGCTGGAGTACAGTGGCACAATCTCCCCCTCCCAAGCTCAAGCAATCCCCCCACCTCAGTCTCCCAAGTAGCTGGAACCACAGGCTAGGGCCACAAAGCCTGGCTAATTTTTGTAATTTCTGTCGAGACGGGGTTTTGCCACGTTGCCCAGGCTGTTCTCAAACTCCTGAGCTCAAGTGATCTGCCCACCTGACCCTTGCAAGGTGCTAGGATTCCAAAGTGTGTGAGCCACAAATATAAATTTATAGTCACTGCTTTCAAAGGTATCCAGCCTAACAGTTTATTCTTGTTTCTCACCATCCTTGCAGAATAAAAATAAAAGTCTATACATCTATTTTAAGGGTGCTTCCTGACAAGCCTTCTATAATAACTCCTTGCCCGAGGTGTTGTCCTATAAACTTCCACAAACCCATTCTCCCTGCTGCAAATATTTCCTCTCAATACATCTACTATGTATCCTGCTTAGTGCTGTATACGTTTAGAAGCCAGAGTTAAAAAGAGAAAACTACTACTTTTCCCATCCTCAACTCCAAATTCTGGTTTAACTGCTCTCACTTTTTTTTAAACCAACATATTTGTTAAATCTGAAAAAGGTATAGAGCAAAATGAATGTGTCATTTAACTGAGTGTCGAAAGTAACAAAAATGATCTGTAACACAATTGCTTGTGGAATGACCTGCTGATGGCTGGTTAAGGTTTACCAGGATTAAACAGAACTCTTAACTAGGAATTTTATTTTATTTTCTGATCTGAGGATTAAATAAACCATCTCCAGCTTTGCCCTAGGAAGGCATGGGACTTTAAGAAATTAATTTTGCTTTCTGTAACACAGCCTGCTTATCTCTAAGAAGAATTAATAATAACTACATGCTCAAAGTCATTGTGACCCCACCAGAAAGGCTGGGTACAATCCTGAGCTATTAAATCTCACGTCAGCAGATCTCACAGTAAAAGCAGACATATTAACAACACAGTGTTGAGGCAAAATTTTGAAGAGGCAGGAGTTTTAAACATACATACACACACACACACACACACACACACACGAATGCCTTATTGCTACCCAATGACCTGATGATAGGGTATTTTTCTTCCTCCTAGGAAGCCTTGCCTTCCAGGTGCTAAAGAAAGGCAGTCTGGAGGCTTATTTTACAACCAGCCCAATTCTTCTAGTTACTCAAGGAGAAAGTGTTAAGGGGTACTTCCTTTGTAGAGGAAAGTGGCACTTGTAAATCACCAATAGTTGAATTAAGATCTCTGACGGCTTTTTCAATTTATGGTGACGTAAATTAAGAGATTTTAGAGAAAAATCACTTTTCCACGCAGTAAGAGCACTGTTTTGTAGCATTACTAATTAAGAGCATACAAGCTGTGGAGTCAGATTATAGTTCTATTGCTGTTCTGCTTGTACTATTATATACAAAGGCCTCACTCAATCCAATGTGTTTCTCCATTAGGGCATGCTTTGTCCAGTAGGGCCGGTGTCTTTTTCATCAAGAATCCATGCTCTTCCCTCTTCTTTCTCAACCAAACTCCTCCAAAGAGCTTTAGCTCAGGGAGGCTGGCAGTGCATAGTTTCAGCCTTTGTCCTCACCATCTTTTTAACACCTTTCCCTAACCCCCAGCCAGCAGTCATCATGAGGACCTTCCTCAATGCAAGTCCAACCTGCATCCCTTTCTAGTGTGTTGTAATAAATAAATACATTTCTAAATGTGTGATAATCCAGGAAGTATTAGCCTTTCTGAGTGTGCCCAATTATTTTAATAGATCGATTAATACCCTAATAATATAAGGCTAACCTTCTGAAAAATCCTGTCCTACTTCAGGTCTCTTGGACCTATGAAAAACAAGAAAACATGACAACAGTTTAGGTGTCCTGTGGCAAAAAGTAACATCAAACAAATTAACACTCCAAGAGATGATGCAACTGTTACCTGGGAAGCACATTCAGAATGGCATAGCAGCTCCTTTCTGAGACTGGAGTGTGTTTCAAATGACATAATGGGTAACTGCTGTTTCTCCAGCTAACAATATAAACCCGGCAATGAAGGATATTTTCAAAGCACCCACCTTGTTGAGGACATCTCGCTGGCAGCCAAGATAAAGATTGGGAAGAATTCGGGTTGGCCCAGTGTTGGCAACAGGTAAGCAAGGCTGAGAAATGCAGGTAGGGACTAGAGTGGATTTTCCTTCACAGAGGCCAGGGAAACAACGAGAGAACTCAGCAAACCCACCTAAGAATAAACATTATAAAATTATAAAAAAATTATGCCACGCACAAAATAAAAACCAGCCTTCTGTGAACTGCTCAGCTACAACAGTTTAAAACATAAAAACTGAACCCATGGATCCAAGTGGGTATCACTGCACACCTATTCCTGGCTACAGCTGCTGATGCTAAGACTGAAGCATAATCCAGCACTAGGCTTGGCCTGTATTGCTACCATGTGGATAGGCCAGTCCTGAAGGCACTTAAAATGACTCCTCTCTCAGACATTCTCTTCATCTTCACATACCCTACAACATTTGCTCCCCACTCCCCATGCAAATGTTTTTTTTTGTGGACCATAAAGAGGATTTAAAGTTTGTAGCGAGTAACCAAGCCAATAATTCACAGAAGCAAAATGGGGATATAAGAAATGAGAACTGAGGCTGAATGCAACTTCTTCAAAATAAAATTGAGTCAAAAATTATTTCTACAATTAACTTTATATCTTCCTACCATACAAATTTTTCATTGCAAAGGTATCACAAACATACTCCCACCAACACACATTCTATCAAGTTCTGGAGATTCCCTGGGCAGTTAGTCAAGGTCTCCGTAATTACCACTGACGTCTGGAGAGCTCCTGTCCATCTCAGCAAGCACTATAAAGAAGTGCTGACAGACTAATTGCTTAGGGTACAGGAAGGCTTTGTGGCAAGATTACTGAACTCAGAATTAGAAGAATTCAGTTTTTTCGGCCGGGCGCGGTGGCTCAAGCCTGTAATCCCAGCACTTTGGGAGGCCGAGACGGGCGGATCACGAGGTCAGGAGATCGAGACCATCCTGGCTAATATGGTGAAACCCCGTCTCTACTAAAATACAAAAACTAGCCGGGCGAGGTGGGGCGCCTGTAGTTCCAGCTACTCGGGAGGCTGAGGCAGGAGAATGGCGTAAACCCGGGAGCGGAGCTTGCAGTGAGCTGAATCCACCACTGCACTCCAGCCTGGGCGACAAAGCGAACTCGTCTCAAAAAAAAAAAAAAAAAAAAAGAAGAATTCAGTTTTTTCTAGTCCTGTCCTTATAATGATCTGCTCTATGACCTTCACTAAGCCAGTCTTGCCACCACTCAATGGCGTGAAATCTATGTAGCCAAGGAGGTGCTTTCACTGCCTCTGAGAAAAATAAAAAAAAAAAAGAGTAAGGTTATTTGCTTTCCAATCTAAATATTCCTTTGGGTTAGCCAAACCCAAACACAGGAACCAAACAGATTCTGATAAATTTTCAGATAAAAGCCTTCCTATCCGAACCCTCACTATTCACTAAGTCCGAATCAAGGAGATTTGGATGACAGGGGATCCTCGTATATTTTTAATATTAAATTAAAAAACAAGGCAGGGCTCGGTCGCTCACGTCTGTAATCCCAGCACTTTGGGAGGCCAAGGCAGGCAGATTGCCTGAGGTCAGAGGTTTGAGACCAGCCTGGCTAACATGGTGAAACCTCGTCTCCACTAAAAATACAAAAATTAGCCAGGCATGGTGGTGGATGCCTGTAATCCCAGCTACTCGGGAGGCTGAGGCAGGAAAATCGCTTGAACTCAGAAGGCGGAGGTTGCAGTGAGCCGAGATTGCGCCACTGCACTCCAGCCTCAGCAACAGAGCAAGACTCCATCTCAAAGAAACAAAAAAACAAAAAACAACAACAAATAACATGTTAAGTCTTATTAGAAGATAGTACCTTTGGCTGGGCGTGGTGGCTCAAGCCTGTAATCCCAGCACTTTGGGAGGCCGAGACGGGCGGATCACAAGGTCAGGAGATCGAGACCATCCTAGCTAACCGGGTGAAACCCCGTCTCTACTAAAAAATACAAAAAACTAGCCGGGCGAGGTGGCGGGCGCCTGTAGTCCCAGCTACTCGGGAGGCTGAGGCAGGAGAATGGCGTGAACCCGGGAGGCGGAGCTTGCAGTGAGCTGAGATCCGGCCACTGCACGCCAGCCTGGGCGGCAGAGCGAGACTCTGTCTCAAAAAAAAAAAAAAAAAAGAAGATAGTACCTTCTTAACTGAGCCTTGAACAAGACCCTGAAATCTCACTAAAGTATTTATCTTCATCTCCCTGAGTTACATTGTATTAGACTTTCTCCCACTTCAAGAAACATACAAAACATGCCCTTGAAAACTGCTAGAAGTGCAGGAAGTTGAGAGGGAATCATCTGCCCTGTATTATGTTCAATTCAAGCATAATTCAGCCAGACGCCTGTCTCTACTGTCTAGGCTCAGTGCAGGGTCCTCAATGCAGCAAGTTAGAATGGTAGGCAGTTGACAACTATGCCACCTGCAGAATGTAAAAGAGTGGCCTGGCCTCCAACATCACCAAGTGTCTGTCTCTATATTTTTTAACACAGAAGCAGTTAAAGGTCTTCTACTTACTGAAGTTCTTAAGGTAACCTGATAGGCAGAATACGTGGATCCATTATAGAAATCACAAATTCCTTTGTGTCACAGGCCCTCAGGATCTGCACCTTACTGTTTCATGGTTTCAATTCTTATTTATTTATTTATTTATTGAGACGAAATTTCGCTCTTGTTGCCCAGGCTGGAGTGCAATGGCGTGATCTCAGCTCACGGCATCTCTGCCTCCCAAATTCAAGCAATTCTCCTGCCTCAGCTTCCGGAGTAGCTGGGATTACCGGCATGTGCCACCACGCTCAGCTAATTTTGTATTTTTAGTAGAGATGGGGCTTCTCCATGTTGCTCAGGCTGGTCTCGAACTCCCGACCTCAGGTGATCCGCCTGCCTTGGCCTCCGGTTTCATTTCTTACCATTTCCAATTATGACTTCCAGCCACACAAAACTCACTATTATTTCACATTTCCATGCTGTTCTCTTGTCCAAGAATACTACCCTCACACCGCCCCATGCATGCACACGTAGAAGCCATAGTACATAGAGCATACACATGTGGGCAAGCCCCCTGATCATACAGCAGAGGAAGTAAGAGCACAAGCCCTTGTACCTGAGTTCCTGTCCCGGCTTTACCACTTTCTAGTTGTCTGATTTGTCAAGTTACTTAAGCCCTCTGACTCTTAGTTTCCTCATCTATAAAATGAGGATAACGATCACACGTATCTCACAGAGTTGTTGAGAGAATTAGTTAGTATATCAAAAGTATTTTGTGCCTGGCAAATAGTAAAGCACTCAGGAGGTATCAGTGTTTTTTTTTTTTTTTTTTTTTTGAGACAGAGTCTCACTCTGTCGCCCAGGCTAGAGTGCGGTGGCGTGATCTCAGATCACTGCAACCTCTGCTTCCCGGGTTCAAGCGATTCTCCTGCCTCAGCCTCCCAAGTAGCTGGGACTACAGGCGCATGCCACCACGCCCGGCCAATTTTTTATTTTTAGTAGAGACAGGGTTTCACCAAGTTGGCCAGGCTGGTCACAAACTCCTGACCTCAGGTGATCTGCCCGCCTCGGTCTCCCTGTTTTTTTGTTATAGTGATCAGACATTCAGTTATCTAGCGCCATCTGTGCGGCCTTCTTACACCTTTGATCCACAATTGTTTAGCTACACCTCCTTAGGATTCATCTGAGACACAAAGTGGAAAAAAGAATGCCTGTAAGGTTAACTTCTCATAGTGTGCCCCAGAGCAATAACGTCCTGAAAGAAGCTGACAGATAGGATAGCGGTCCAAAACATGAGAAAAATATTGTATATCCTAGCGCCCTGGGAGAGTCACAGCACATATTAACTTATTAAAGGTTCTAAGAAGTATCTTCAAAGAAACTGGTTTCATTTATTGAAGTCTAGTAAGTTTCCCCAAACTTATCTGACCATGGAATTCCCCCTAAAATATATTAAGAGCTAGTGGAATTCACACTTACGAAATGCTATGCTAAGGTCAAAGTGACTACTGAAATGGAGTCAATCAGAACTCCTATACCTACAAGTATAACCCACAGACAATCTCAAAAAAAGGGGGTCAGCCAATATTGGTATATGAGTGCCCACCGTTTAGAATTTATGCTTTTGTTTCTATTCGTGTTTTGTTCCTTTTCAGTCTCTGTAATTGAATAATACAGTCATTATTTACAGTGAGTTTTTTCCCCAAGGTAGTTCTTGTAACAATAAATGTTAAAGATTCTCATCATTCTTTGCTTTTCTTACACCTACCCAACCTAACAACTGACAGGCACTATTTTAATTTAATTGTATGATATTAAATTTTAATGTCATGTCTATTAACATGCAGTTCTGGTGTTTCTTTTTTTTTTTTTTTTTTTTTTTTTGAGACAGGGTCTCACTCTATGGCCTAGGCTGGAGTGGCATGGCATGATCTCGGCTCACTGCAACCTCTGCCTCCCAAGCTAAGTACATATAAAGAACTTAACACTGTCCAGTCCATAGTGAGTGATCCTCCCACCTCAGCCTCCTGAGTAGCCAGGGATACAGGCGGGCGCCACCACGCTCAGCTAATATTTGTATTTTTTGTAGAGACAGGGTCCTTCCTATGTTGCCCAGGCTGGTCTCAAACTCGTAGGCTCAGGTGATCCCCCCACCTCAGCCTCCCACAGTGCTGGGTTTACAGGCATGAGCCACTGCACCCTGCCAGTTCTGGTGTTTCTCTAAAGAACTGCCTTCATATATTTTTCTATTCTGGCTCTAAAATAGTTCATGGAATGGTTGTCATTTAAATCCAACAAAACGGCTTGGGCAACATGGAGAAACTCCATCTCTATTAAAAAAAAAAAAAAAAAAATGCAAAAATTAGCCAGGCATGCTGGTGTGTTCCTGTAGTTCCAGCTACTTGGGAGGCTGAGGTGGGAGGATTGTTTGAGCCCAGGAGGTTGATGATGCAGTGAGCTGTGATCGCACCACTGCACTCCAGCCTGGGTGACAAAGTGAGACTCTGTCTCAAAAAAATACATACATACTTCCAACAAAACAATATTCCAGTAAATGTTCTCAAAGAGAAACCACAGAATCCAAGGAAATGCCACTTGAATTTCATTTTAACCTTATAAATGATTATTTTTATAATGTATGTAATCCTAGAACGTACTGAACGCTTACTGTGTGACAAACGCTGCTCTAAGCACTCTATAGGTATTTTACACACTCTTATAACTGCCCTATGAGGTAGGTATTACTACTAATCCCATTCATAGATAAGGCTCAGAATCACATAATATAGGCTCAGAATCACGTAATATAATAACTGGAAGAGCCAGGTTATAAGTCTACTTTTCTAAATCCTGTGGAATTACCTTCAACTCTCCCTTGGATGCAGGGACATTGCTGATGATATTCACGGGGTCCTGGCCTCCCAGCTGTGACCAGGCTAAAACGGCCATGGTCCTTTCCCAAACTGATGGAAGAGCCTTGTTTCCCCAAAGCCATATTGCTCAAAGGCTTCAATGAGGGAGAAGAAAGAAGATCTGACAAGACCAGAGAAAGGAGAATCTCTTTAAAGGCAATTTCACACGACACCAATAACAAAGTTTACAGATGAACTAGTTGAAATGTAAATATGGTCACTGGTTTGTTCATGACCATTTACACAAGTTGGTAGTAAAGTTGAGGCCATGTCTTGGCTTTCAGGTCACCCCCTACAGAACAACTTTCAGAGGAGACGCAATTCTGCAATAATCATAAACTGAGCCATCAGCCAGGCTGTCTGAGGTCCAGCTCTAGCGTTAATTAGTACAGTAATCCTATGTCACTTTGACTTCAGTGGACCTCAAAAGTAAATGTGGCTCTAGAAAGTTCTGAGACAGAGAACAGAAACAAAGGAGAGAAAGAAACCATCGTTCAGCCTCAAAACAAAAGAGCCAAACATAACAACAACACTACACTGTAAAACATATTATAAAACAAAAGAAGCTTTTTCAACTGATATCTAGAACAAATTCAAACAAACAAATATTTTAAAATATCTAACAGATTTAGCTGCAATCAGAACATTCATTTTAGTGCTCAGTTTGGCTTGAAATGTCCCAAACTGGCTCCTAGTCACTTCCAGAAAACACCACCTCGGCCAGAGTACATTTTCACTGATCTTTATCTATGACAATGTTCCACTCTGCTGACATCCTCCTTCATTGACAGTTTTTTCCATTCACTGACCTTTCATTCACTGCTGCACTCTAGTGACTCCAGTTTCGTTTCATTAATTAACAACAGATGAGACACTGCCTGATTCCCTTGAACCTCTGAAAACTATCTGTGGCCTCACCAGCAACTCAGTTTTGAAACGTGTTTAAAATGTCCCTCTTCCTTTCATAAGTTCTCTTACAAACAAGATCTACTTCAGAAGGAAAGTTCAATCATGCAAACTTTCTGCTCCAAATGGCTGACGGAGACAGAGAATGAAGTGTCCTCTTATCTGCCCTCGTCATAACTTTGTTGTCCCAGGGACTCCAAGCTAGATTCCATTACAAGACATAACATCGACCATTATCCGCTATTTACTGTGAAAAGCAGTACCGAAAAACTGATAAGCTTCTTGAAAAAATTTGCGCATATTTTTTAAAGTTGTCTGAAGACTTGACTCACTGTCCAATCTTGCCAAGTTTCTCCTGTTCCTAATTTTATGCTGTTTATCATCTGGGAATGCAGAAAACGGAGTCATAGTAACCTATATGTGTTTCCCTAACATGGACCTGAACCTAAGAATGACTGTGCCCCCTATTCTGGAAGTATCTGTGCTAAGAGGAAGGAAGACAAATACGCAGACACTTCCAGCCTGCTGAGAAACAGGGATGGGCAGTCTCTGCAGGCAGAGAAGCGTCTTGGCCTCCACAGCTGTGGGTGCACAGGCAGCCAGACCGCAATGCTAAAAACCCATGTTTCTGTTTGTTAGTCTTCCATAAATCCAACCAAAAGAATGCATGTTTACAAATAAAAACATAGATACTACTTCCGACACAGAAAACATGTGGTACATACAGCTTCTAAGGCATTCCTGATTTAGATAACACCTTATCCTAATTCAGCCATGAAAACATTTTCCCTTAGGAGCACCTCCTTCACAATTCCAATCATAAATACGATTTTCTGTAAAAGCAAACGTGAACCACCATTCCATTTTGGGAGGGAAAAATCTGCTAAGCAAAATAAAATACATATAACAACTCTACTAAACAATTCTAATTAGTCACTCTTTTTTCTTCCCTCTCACCCATGCAATCAGTTATAAATCACAGTATTTTCTTAAAATGGAAGTATATTTACATAATAAAAGTAGTACTCTACTGTGGCTTAGTGATATTCTTAAAATGTTTTTAAGGCCAAAGTTCTAAAAATAGATCCCTATCCTTTTAGCAATTCCATGACTTTAAAGATGGTTTCCTGCAGTGAGAGACAGGACCTTTCCACTCATGCCTTCATTTAAATAGGGAGCAAGTCACTAGAGATTTATCAATTGACAGAGCCGCCTTCAAGGAAGGCAGAATCAAAGAGAACTGCCCTCCCACCCTATATTGTGAATGGATTCCATGGTTATACAAAGAAATAATATTGATACAAAGCTCTACTTTATGGAAGACATTTTTCTAAAAAGTCATATGCAAATTTAACTTTTATATTTTAAATAATCTGCATATAGTTCATATAGTTGCACAGTTTTGAACTATGCAGTTAAATTCTTGTTTTTTGTTTGTTTTTGGAGACGGAGTTTTGCTCTTGTTGCACAGGCTGGAGTGCAATGGCACAATCTCCGCTCACCCACAACCTCCAACTCCTGGGTTCAAGCAATTTTCCTGCCTCAGCCTCCCAAATAGCTGGGATCACAGGCATGCGCCATCATGCCCAGCTAATTTGTCCGGCTAATTTTGTATTTTTAGTAGACACAGGGTTTCTCCATGTTGGTCAGGCTGGTCTCCAACTCTCAACCTGAGGTGATCTGCCCGCCTTGGCCTCCCAAAGTGCTCGGATTACAGGCATGAGCCACCATGCCTGGCCATTACATTCTTTTGTAGTTCTCACATAGTTTAATTATTTTGTAAAACAAAACTCCCTTTTTGTAACATAAACACAATCCTTTCAGTTGCTTATTTTAGAATATATGTGAAAAACTAGAGTACACCTTCACCTGTAGAGGACAGTTCTCTCTTCTCTCCATACTGGAAAGAAAATCTGTTGCTTTATGATCACACAAAGGAGACAACTCTAACATTAAAAATGGAAAATAATGAAAATGTTTATTTTGCAGTAAAGTACTTTAATTGCTCTTAAGAGTAATTCTGTTATGCCTCAGTCTGACATGTCTGATTTAGGCAACTTCGTTCTCTAGACACTCACAAACAGACTAAAGTATGGTCACAATTCTTTCAGGATCAGCAGACAGTAAACATGGAGAGTTGAAACTAGTTGAAGAAAAGAAAAAAAAAAAGCAACATAATTTCATACCCCTAAAGAAAGCAAACAAAATGTGTAACTAATGTTTCAATGTAGACACTTTGGTCTGGCTAAGCCAAGCCACACAGGTTTGGTAAATTACTCCTAGGAAGGTAGACAGCGGTGACGTGTTTTCCACAACATTAGCAGCATTTCATCTATTTCCCATATAGCCAACTCTCCAACTAGCCGTACTAAAAAGAAAAATCCCAAATGATCTAAAGCATTAATTTAAAGCTTTCATTCCATCCACCCCTATCCCACCATCTACTGGAGCACAGACCAAGAGAAGAGTGGAGAGATACGCATTTCTCTTTCAGGAAGGCTGACAAGTAGCCTACATCTCACAAAACTTATCCTATAAATGACATCTCCAAAAAAGCTCACCCTGTATTAAACAACTCTATCACCTGACACACTTGGGAAATGGGAAATTCTATCTAATTTTGGTAGTTAAAACATATACAACAGTTACCACATATACAACAAATGAATGAAAAATTTTCAAAGCACCAGCAGACAAATCACTAAACACTAAAATTATGCAACTTGTAATTTCTTATGACTCAGAATGTCCAGATCTTATAACTAAGGATAATATTTATTTATTTATTTATTTTTTAAATTTTATTTATTTATTTATTTATTTATTTGAGACGGAGTCTGGCTCTGTCGCCCAGGCTGGAGTGCAGTGGACGGATCTTGGCTCACGGCAAGCTTCGCCTCCCGGGTTCACGCCATTCTCCTGCCTCAGCCTCCCGAGTAGCAGGGACTACAGGCGCCCGGCTACTTTTTTTGTATTTTTAGTAGAGACGGGGTTTCACCGTGTTAGCCAGGATGGTCTCCAGCTCCTGACCTCGTGATCCGCCCGTCTCGGCCTCCCAAAGTGCTGGGATTACAGGCTTGAGCCACCGCGCCTGGCCAACTATGGATAATAGTTAAATCAATTCAATCGGCAACATTCAGATGTGTTATTCAAGGACTAGTTCTCAGAAGATGTAGAGTGATACTATTCTGCTGATCTTTTAAATTGGCAATACGTAACTATGCCCAGAAAAACTCCTCTTAAACGCCCTGAAACAAAGATTGTTCTAAAGACTTGTGCAACCAGAATAACCAATCAAAAGGAATACAGCCAGAATCTACCACGTGGCCGAATAGAATTAACAAGCTCTGTAAGTAGGAGAGCCAGAGTCACAGACTCTCCCTACTGTTTTCCTAACACATCTGTGCTTTCCCGCCTTGAGGCTTTTGAAAATTCAACCTTTCCAATCCATTTTGTATTTCCTTCTAAACTACAGGCAAGCACAAGTTGCACCTCTTCTATAGCAGTATGTTCCCCAAATTTTTTAGCATGATCAACAAAATACATTTTCCACTCAAACCCTCTGAACACCTACACATACTTACCACTAAGACAAAAGTTTCATGATACTATCTTCCCTAATTCTGTTTAAAAACAAACAAACAACTTCTTTGACCAGCGTATCCAGACATGGTCTTGCCGGCTTAGAGGCTCTATAAAATTTATACCAATCATTTGGCAGTATCTACCACTGACCTACTAACTGTGAAATAACTGTATGTGTTGTGACCTGTCTTACTTCTCCAGCTATTGTGAGCTGCTGATGGGTAAGAATTATGTCTTATACTCCTTTGTAATCACCTCAGCATTTAGCATAGTGCCTGGCACATAATTAGAATTCAATAAATGTTTATTGAATCCTTCCTTGTTACAATGAATAGCTGTTGATGGACATAAGTCTTGTATATTTTTGGTGTTCCAAAGGATTTCCTGATTCCATTCAAAGCCAAAAGCTAGTTGGTGTGGGTGGGGGCACAAAATCTGCTTCCTATTCCTAGACCACAATGCCCCAGAAGACTCTCAGGGTGAGCGGGGAGGCAAAAGGCAAGAAAAAAACATTTTTTCTTCTACTACAGGAAAAAAGATAAAATTGGTGAGTGCCACTTTGGTTATCCAAAAGCAACACTCAATCGTTACTATGATTCTTCCATATCCACAGGACTTTACATGAAAGGG